CATTTTAAACGCCTTTCATTATATTGTCGTTACCATTTATAGATTCATCAGTTTGGCTTAAGTGAGGTCTCCAAGTTATAATGGACCACCAACTTATATATAAAATATACGAAAATCATATCTTCTTTAATACAAGTTTACACAGACTCTCAGTTTGCTAAAATCTCATTGCTAACATACCAACCAACGTAGTACAAGTCGTAGTGATTTAATAATAAAAATGGATTCTGAATCTAATTTAAAAACTTTTAATAAAACGAATATACCATGATTGTCAAACATTAAAATAGCTTGAAAACTGCCAACGCTTCTCTCAGGACATATCTACAGCACATCGTTCAGCTTATTGGGATGAATTTCAATCCCATAAGAAAAAATATATCCCAAAAAATCTCTTTTACGTACAAAGCCAAAAGACTATTCCACTTTTAACACCAGTGCATACATGTATGCGTATGCATGTGTGTCTGTCTGTTAGTTCTTCATGCAGGAACGGCTGGATGGATTTAGATAAAATTTGGTACACAGAGCGACTGACCGGAAATAACACATACGCTACTATTAGGGACGTAGGTCGCACCCGAGGGAAGCCAGGGTAAATCGCTAATAGGGCTATAAAATGCAAATTTTTTTTTATTGGACTTGTAGAGTTATATTAGCGCACAAAGTTAAAAAACAAACAATCTCATCAGCCTTAAAATGTTAGTATAGATAACTTCACAAGGTTGAAAGTATCATTTAGAATAATTTATATAGTAAGTAAGACCTTCGTACTTTATTGGTGTTGTCCTTTCCAGTATTCAAACCGAACAGCTGATACCTAAATTAGTTATTTAGATGAAGAACAGTCAGAAATTCAAATATAAAGCTTTATAGGGTGAATTTTATGTGAAACCATAACTTGTGGCCAGTAAACTATAACTATAACTCGTAATAGCAAAAAACTATCACAATTAATACACTTCCACAATTATCATGGTTAATTAAGGTTTTTAAACTGGATTAAATAAAACTATCTTTTCGGATTATTTCGCGGATTTATTTTGATTTTTGGTTCCCGACGTTTCGAATGCTTTACAGCATCCATGGTCACGGGAGAGACCATCTCTCGGCTTATGATGCTTTACAGCATCCATGGTCACGGGAGAGATGGTCTCTCCCGTGACCATGGATGCTGTAAAGCATTCGAAACGTCGGGAACCAAAAATCAAAATAAATCCGCGAAATAATCCGAAAAGATAGTTTTATTTAATAATGTCATACATTCGCGTAAATCTAAGAAAGTATTATGTTTTTAAACTGTTTACTTTTATTTTGTACTATTTATAAATATAGTATAGTAATTTGAAATTCATTCGTGAATAATAATTTCTTCGATTTACGCGAATATTTGACATTTTAGAGACTCAACAGTCTATCCCGTGACCGTGATTGTAGTAAAGTACCTATTCGAAACGTCGGGAACCAAAAATCAAAATAAATAGTTTTATTTAGAATGAAATTTATAAACAATTTTAAATTCGATTATAAATTTTGTATAGTAATTTTAAATTCATTCGAATATCTGGGTATATGCTCTATATTTATCTCTTGTTATTAACAAACTTTACTAGCTTACAACTTTTCTATATGTATGTAAATAAATCGGTAAAGTCCTTTCGCAAATGACAATGAATAATGTTGGTAATATACAAATAAACGGATGTATCCAGGTTTTACATTTATGAGTAAATATTAAAACATTAAAAATAAACAATTATTAAAAATTAGAAGATCGTAAGCTATTTTGTTATAATAATAATAGACTTGTTTATATTCAGAGAAGATATCTTATTTATCATAATATCTATAGGTACTAATATTATAAATGTGAGAGTGTGTTTGTTTGTGTCCTTACTTAATACCCAGAGGAAAGCACGTTATAATGCAAACCAAAAAAATATTTGTGATCAGAATTACTTGAAACTTGGTATATATACTCTTCAGTAAAATTAAATAAATACGCGTCTTAGCATTTTTCTAAATTCATCGTATAAGAAACTACCTTTTTAGAGATTTTTTTGTAGTTTAAGCGCGAGCGAAGCCGCGGGTTCTGCTAGTTATATCATAATCGAATGTAACTAAAGGTTTTATACTATATATGTATGTGTTAGTATTTTCTCTACTTCCTCTCTACTTTTAATTTATCCTGAACTTATTAGCCCTATTTTACTATTCCGCTTCACAGATCGTACAGTGTATAAACTATCGTAGGAATATTTACATGACAACACAAGTTGATTAAAAGCGAGCTGCAGACTGCTGACATCCTGTTGTTTCAGGCTGCCTCTAAACCAGTTACCGAACGGAGCTCAAATTTATGGTAATTAATGGTATTATTGTAGGCGCTGAGCTAAATAATTGGGTTATTACAAAATAATCGGATTAAAAACATTAAATGCGATGAAATAGCTAAAACTTAGCATAAAATGTTTTAAATTAACTTAAATCTTCTATTATCTGTTAAAAAGTGAATTCATTGAGAATTCACGAGAAGTTGCTAATGAGTTGAGTTTTTGGGTTATGAAAGTTCATAGCTAGCGTTGGATTTCAATAATTGCTAAAATAACTTAGCAAGCAAAATATATATATATATTTGTTTTGGTTTACAAAATCTAGTAATAGATTTTCAATTTAAAGATGGCCGTTTTATTTCTTCAGAGTCTGTTAGTGCCACAAAATTAAGGTATAATCGAATTTCCCTTAGCTATTGAATGGAGGGCAAATTACAATGTTAATGGCGTCGTTACCTCTCGACCCAACTTCCATTTTATACTTGACAATTTTGAACGAACATAAGAAGTTTTTCTTGTTTTGGCATTACCATTTCTTTTTTTTCATATTATTTTTAATAATATTTTCGTATCTATGGCACCCTTGAGGGTAGAAAGACCGGCACAATTTTACAAGATTACAAAAAAATCATCTAAAACCTGATTGTTGATGTGTTAACAATACCGTTTATAAAGTATACAAGCGACTCACCCTCGCTCTGCTCGGGTTCGTCCATAGGAACTTTTTGTTGGTTAGTACAGATTTCTCCGAGATAAGATAATTGCCCGCCGTAAAAAGCATCCTATATGTTGACCCGAATATTCAGCTATCATCATACTAAATTTCATCAAAATCAATCTCTTGTGGTTTTCTCGTGATGCGTTCCCAGACAGACAGAAAGACAAAAATTCTAAAAATTAAAATTCTAGTTATGTAGATTCTGCCTCTGTATCGATAATAATGACTATATCAATAAGATCCATATAAGAATTTTTTAGTTTTATTTATAAGTGAAGAAAGAATAAATACTGTAGTATATATATATATATATATTATATATATATATATATATATATATATATATATATATATATATATATTTAAGTAATTCTGCTCATTTGTATTGTGGTTAGATGACAGAGCGTTTATGTGGAAGTCGAAGTTATGCTATTTGCATATGGCCCAACTTTGAAGTATTTCAATATTTATTTATTTAAGTTATATTTAAAAATACAATATTTTTGACATGAACAATTTATTCAACAGTGTCTAAATGTTCACAATGAAAATAACCCATCTGTGTTAATCAGAAGACCCAGTCAGCCCTATCTTTACACGAAAGCTTAATTAATCCCCTGAAAGACTAAGATTATTTGAAATGTTTATCGTAATTATTTTGACTGTGATTAAATCAAATAAGGTCTTATTGTAATAGGATCGTAAGATAAATAATTACAAAGATGTTGAAAGCAATTTAGCCACTTGCTAAGTGATTGAATCAGGGACAAAAAAAACTTCATAAACTGTATTGTAAGGCAGTATTCAAATAAAATTGATTATTATTTTTATTTAAAATAAAAGTTCAATGATTTTATTACCCGTAAAAAGTTTTTTTCTACCTTTAGGATTGTTATTTTTTCTTGAAATGTATATGGGACCACTCTTATGGTTTATATATATATATATATATATATATATATAAATTAATATAAAAATTAATATTAAATAAATAAATATAAAAATTAATATTAAATAAATAAATATAAAAATCTATTTATAATTAGTGAAAATATCGTATAACATACACAAAAAACATACAATCGAATTGTATATTTCCTCCCAATCGATCGAAGAGTGTGTATGTAAGTTTAATAAAAATAGTTGGGAAAAAAATAAAAAGAATAAAATCAGAATTACAATTTTAGGATGGGTTTTTTTTTCAAATTTTAATGGGACCAACTTTGAGGTATATACTATCCAATATAAAAAATTATCAAAATCTGACTGCACTGTAAAAAGTTACGCGTGGTCAAACATAAAAAAAAATCGGAAAAGTGCGAGTCGGACTCGCCCACCGAAAGTTCCGTACAAAGTAGGTAATCTGCTTAACTTTAATTTTCAACTTTTTTTTGGAATTTGTCCATTATTTGTGCTGTAAAACCTAGCTTTTTGCCAAATTTCGTGACTCTAGGTCAACGGGAACTACCATATAGTATTTCGACCCAAAACCTATAGGGTACTTCCGGTTGATCTAGAATTGTCTATTTTGGTTAAAAACAAGGTCTTGTAGCACAAATAAAGAGAAAAATCCAAAAAATAAAAAAAGTTGAAAATTAAATTAAATTTTGGTCCTTACAAGTTTTCGCGAAAATCTAAATTTGCCCATATCTTTTTATCGTTTGAATCAGGACATTGATTTTTATACACCTAATAGAGAATAAAAGAACCTCAGTATCTGGTATAATTTTAACTTGCTAGGTTCACCCTTCCTGAGAAAATCGGTCATGACACACGGACAGACAGACGGACAGACGGACAAGAGAGTGATCTTATAAGGGTTCCTTTTTCTACCTTTTGAGGTACGGAACACTAAAAACAAAATATACGTGTCAAATTGAAAACCTCCTCCTTTTTTCGTCGGTTAATTAATAGTAAACTTAAATCTTAATACTTTTTCATTGTTTCAGAGCATTCCTCAGAATTCTATGTGTGTGCTGTCCACGGAAGTTACGAAGAAAGTACCAGCCACAGCTTCGCTTCAAACAATCTCAAGTAATTCCTAATTTGATAAAATTTTATTATGCTTAACAAAAATCTGCAAGATTTATTTAAACATATTGGATAATTAAATACATATGTATAAATTATATATGTATGTATATACCATTATAATATTAAATATCATAGTAGTAAAAGTAATACTAGCCTCACAAATTCTTTTACTTTCAGTGGCGTACCACGCGCCGTTATTACTCCACCGGCGAACTGCAAGCCATTCGACAAAACTCCTGTGAACAAACTTACATATAGCGGCTCAACTTATTTCTAAGCCTCGTTATCTTACACTCCAAGTGCCTTCTCTAAAATTATCTTCCGACAGTTTTTATACTTTTTGTAAAAAATCTTTAATTCCTTGGACACCACATGTTAATATTAGCCAAATTTTTATATTCCTTTAATATACACATATATTTTAGAGGTACGTCTGATCAATTAACTTGCTGCACTGTATCACTGACTTCGCCCTCTTTGGCATCACGAATGTATCCTGCGCAATACTCTCATATATCTTTAATCCTAATCGCTTTTCTTTTACGCCCCTGGATATATGCAACTTTCAAACATTCCTCAAAATGCATGTTTCGTTTAAAAGTTGTGATAAAATATACAACCTATTCGATCCTATTTCCGTGGCCCACAACATCGTTACTACTCAAACTTCCACCATAAATAATACCTACGTGTTCACACGTTCCCTTGCATGAAATAATCTGAATAACAAATGTGTGTGACTTTTCATCTCAAAATACGTGTTGTTTCTAAGCCACTTATGCAAAGCACACTGCACCCGGCATTCAAAACTATGTATTTCTATATTTAATGTTTTGTTTTCCTGCCTTGTATTTCTTATACAAAAGTTCCATTGGAATTGATAACATCATCCTCTTTGCTTTGTTTATCATCTAAGAGTCTAACGTATTCAATATGTTGCAGTATCCAGTAACAACAATGATGTACTCATCAGTATCACAGCACGAGATGTGTCGATTGTGACAGCAGGCCCGCGCGGGAACCTGTCGGCCCCCGCGCGCCCGCTGCTCTTGATGTCGCGACCGCCGTGCCCTGCACAGTGGCAGGAGAGACGGCGCCACAATCAGCTATCCATTAAGGATTATCGAACAAGAAGACACATTCGATGAACCTTTACCGTGTCTCGAACGTCATCAATGCCCTGACACATCATATTGCCACGATACGGAGTCGGTGAGCGAAATTAGCTTAGACAGTGAATCTCGAAACCCATCCATAAAACATAACAAAATGCGGGTTACATACCAAACCAAAGCAGAAGTGATCTCAACTTAGATTTAGTGTAGTTTGTGTCTAGTCATAAATTTCACATTGTGAAATGAAATCAATCAGGAGCTGTGATTTGCTAGCTATGTAAATATTAGTGTCTGTACATACATGTAGGTCCACGCGAATTTGCTTAGTGTGGTATCGATATTGTAAATAAACAAATAAGGGAATTAAAAACGCTTCATAATATTGTACATAATTCGTTCAAATCCAGTACTCTTAGGTATCAACTCTTAGATTATCTTAATTAATAGTATAAGATTATCTTAGAAAAATCGCTGTCTGGCATAAATAAAACTTTAATAACTTCACTGTTCAGTGTTACATAATGTTACTAAAATCAATGTCCATATAAAATATCCGAGATTTTTTATTTTTGGTAAAGTTGAAACACTTATAAATGGCATATTACTAAGAATAGAGCAACAATAATATTCGAAACAATAACAGTCGAGATGATTTTGTACCCACAACGGTCTCAGTTAAGGTGATATTCTACAATCGCTCATGCTAACAAAACTGAAAAATAAATTATGATATAATAACTATGACATTGTGTTACCGCTTACACATTATTATTCCTATTAATTATTATTTTTCGTATGTATAACTTAAACGATTGTGAAATGTCATTTTATCTAAATAGCCCAGTCATTTGGTAGTTTTATCTGGAAAGATTTTCGGGAGTTTTGAAAATTAGTGATTTTAATAGATTTCGATGTGCTTTTTCCGAATTTTAATGTTGCCACCTCATATCTTTGCCGCTCACGCCGCCATATTGGAAAAATGACGCCTTATGGCAGTTTCTTGACAATACGTCTATTCCAACTTATTTTAAAGAACACTTATATACAAAATTAAAGTAGAGAAAATTTCCTACAATTTATGTAATAATTTTTTTGTAAAATCAATAGTTTTGGCGTATGAGCGCCGCAAAGTGTACTTCAACTTGTGTTTTGGCTAAAAAACTCATTTCTACATTACTTTGAGGTAGACTGAGTGGCGCGTTTTTTATCGTAATATCCTATCCCAGTAGGCCTAATCCATATGCAATGCACTATTACAATATTAAACAAACCCAGAGTATTTATAAAAGGATAACCAAAGAAATAAATATTGTTTAATGATAGATTTAAATTTTTTAGATTTAATATTGACTGTATTTGATATAATATATTCAAATTGATCGTTAATCGAATATGTAGCACCAAATAGAAATTTCAAAAGAAATACACACACAAAAAATTGCTCGTATTTTCTAATAAACGAAAATTAGATCAGTTCACAAAAACCTACTTAATGGATTTTCATGGGACTTTTTATCGATTATTACTTGCTACTTAACTTATTTGAAAAAGTGTTGGTAAAATTAAAAGTTTTCGCGAGATTGCGAAAAGAATTTCGTAAAAGTTCTAACAAAGAGAACAATGGTGTTTATTTTGATGTAATATAAGATTGGTTGTCATATAAGTCATGGTTTTTATAATCACTGGGGCTACATATTGGACGAATGACTTTAATACCATTGTGCAAGAATCATCCAATAGTAATGTTAAAAGAGCATAATCAACACCAGCGTGCCTGTCTGTTACTATTGTATATTTAATAATTTTTGGCTATGATGTATTTATTGATATCTTTCTATGTTAAATTGTTCGAAGTCTACAATACTCCTTGCTAAAGAAATATATTGTAAATACTGTGTAATTAGCTATTGTATGAAATGGGTTGTCGTATAAAAATTTATATAAAATATTTTTCCATTGATCTTCTTTTATTTATCATGGCCCCGAACTAAAACATACCTAATGCTTAATTATAATATTTACTTTTTAAATAATAAATTACTCAAAATTTAAATGATTTTTAACGTTATTTCACCAATGTACATATGTTAAAACATATTTACGTAAAAAAATCATTAAAATTTATTCAAAATAAATATACGAAAAATCTTATACCCAAACGAGTAACTCCAAATTTTTGAAGTTCTTCAAATATTTTCATAGCCACATAAGTTAAAATAAATACATAAAGCTAATAAACGTGCAAAATTTTCTTAACGCAAATTCTGAATTTTTCATATGTCTATTATACCGAATATCAAGAATACGAGTATAATTTGGTAAGAAACAAGAGCAATATGAAATTATAATGCTACCTAATTCTGTATCTCTTGAAATCTTCGTATTAAACTTTTAAATGGGATCCATTACAACTCAGATTAAATGGAAACGTATGCCTATTGTTTAGACTTAAATGTAACACAAAGATAGACATAACAGCAGCTAATAGAGTTTGCTTATACGTAATGTTAATTTTCTCATGGTATTTTATTATTTTTAAGCTGTGAAAAAGAAAAAAACTTTTTAAAGTGAAATATCAATATTAATCGTTAGCTTAACAATATCACGAGTTGCGCTAAGTAGGGTCATACATCACACAAAAATAGGGAGCTTAAATATAACTTTTCATTTTTAAAGTTTAGAAACTTGATCAACATTTTCAGTGAAACTTTCCTCAAGATTGTTCCCTAGAATATTTTACAAAGTAAGCGACGACGCCCGGTATTTTATTTATTTCTTTATTATACTCCGAACTAACAATGCAAAATAAAAAATAGAATTTTATATCGTATACCTATCTAAAATACGAGTTTTTGAATTTTAACAATGCATAAAAAATCACTACTTATAATAAAAAAATCACTTCTTATATTAAATAGCTCATTCAGTCTTAATAGACAAAATAAGAAGTAAAAGAGTACCTCAGAATAGCAGCGATATTAGCTCCACTGTTTTATGAATATTTAACCAAGAAAGTTGTAAAGTCTTTATGAGATTTTAGTTTACAGTATGTTATAGTCCAAGTTTGTAGAGCATATCCTTCTAATACAGTCTGTTTGCGAACTCTTAATCTGTGCTTAATCTCTAGAAATTTAGCTACTCTACATTCTTGATACGTATGCCTTTAAACAAACACTAAAAGTTTGAATGTATGTAAGTATACAATTCTTTATAATATAGACATACCAAACTCAGCTTAAGTAAGTGCTATTTAAGCTGAGTTTGTTATATCTCTAGATCAATAATATCGTATATTTTCATTTTAATGTTTTATTAAACACTAGCATTGCCCGCGGCTCCGCCCGCGTTCAGATGACCAAACACCAAATTCTTAGGTTTTATATATTAGTATACTCTTACATATAAAATTCTTAGGTTTTATATATTAGTATACTCTTACGTTGCAATTTTTGTATTTTTTCTCAGAAATGAGACATTTTCCCGCGGTAAAAAGTATCCTATATGTTGACCCAGATAACCAGCTATCCCGGGGGAGAAGCCAACTCCTACCGGGCGCGTGGAATGCACCCGCTTAGGGCGGCGGGTGGTACCGGAGAAATCCGGCGCGGACCAAATGGCTTGGGTGGGGCCGCTCGTCTAGAACTCGAGCCGAAGACGTTGCGGCCACCGGTGGTGGGACCGCTTGGTCCCACAACCGGATGATGGGTGCCGGTTGCGGGACTGTGGTCGCAGGCCCGCATCCGGCGGAGGATCTGCAGCCAAAAAAAAAAAAAAGATAACCAGCTATGACTATTCCAAATTTCAACAAAATCTCTTCAGTAGTTTTTTCTGTGATGAGGTAACAGACAGACAGACAGACAAAAATTCTAAAAACTATATATTTGGCCTCTGTATTAATAATAATGTCTATTTTAATTAGATTTTCCAAAAAAATATTTAATGTACAGATTAGATAGCTGTTTTAAGGAGTACCTTATCTTCTTTTATTTTAGAAAAAGAATTAGGGTTCCACTCAAAAAAATTAAAACGTACCTAGGGACGCACCTGAGCGAAGCGAGGGCAACTCACTTGTTTTAAAATATTTCTCCAATAAAAAAAACTAATAATATATACGGAAATTGATTTTATATATGACATTTCAACAGCACCAGAGAAACGGGAGAATCTATTATTAGGTACATTAATACCACCAACGTGAGGTAAGAACGAGTGCTCGTTTTGTGTAACTCCACGATTAACGACCCCGCATTTGCAGATATCCTTTGAGAGATATTTGGAGAATTAATGTACTACCCACCCACTGCCATATTTGAAAAACTTACTAATATAAGTCCAATGAAATATTAAGTCCAATATTTGAAATACTTAGATAAACAAAAATCAATAAATCTATATAAAATAGTCATACATCTATTTAAAAGAGTTTAAGCATCTAGTTAGAATCACATTTGGTCAATTTATATTTTTTTGTTGTGATTGCATCCCTAAAAAGTACTGCATACATATTATCAAGTTTGACATTAAATTTTACTATTTTTATGTTAAATCAAACACTGATCTGACCTTCTGGGACTGTTCAATGGCTCCTAATTACCCCATAGATTTAGGTTCATTTGGTTTATTTAAATGAGTCCCATACACTATTCGTGGTGCCGAAAATACGCATGCATGACAGAACCATATATTGTTCGTTCAATAATGATAAAACTTTGATGAGTTATTGCGTACTTGACAGTAAAGGTTTCTGACAGAGAGGTTTTATGGGGTAATTTAATTTATTATGTGTTTCCATAATATAATATATGCATGCCCATGACTTTTGAATAGTTTTGACATAATATCATCAGTGCACGATAGGTGATCATTTGGCAAAAAATAAGCAATAGCATATTTTATACAGAGAGAAAATTAGCAAATATTCTACCATTTCAAATTATTTTTGATTAAATATCTTCTAAAATTAGTACTTCTTTTTAAATATAAATGGAATATATCAATTACTTGAAATAAAAAAATAATATATTAAACGA